AATCCCAGGACCTCGAGATTATGACCTGAGGCAAAGGCAGATGCTTAACCATCTGAAACACCCAGATGCCCCTATTTTTTAACACAGGTGCTGATTACATTAATGTGCACATCTTTTTTGTAAGTCTGAAATGTCTCCTAGTATATTTAAAATATCACCTTTGTCTTATTTTCCTGACTGTAGATTCATCATGATAGAAATGTATTTCCTCATTATGATAGAGAAGTATCACCCATTTTCCAATCAAGACTTTATGTTCTAGAATTTGAGTTCTTCTCCACTGGTTGTGTGCAGGTGGGGTGGGGTGTGCTGCAGCTCCTTTGTATTTCAGGGGCTGTCATGGAAAAAAATTCTTCCAGTACTTTGTTGAAAAGGAATTAACCTGGTGCTGAGGATGGAACAGGAATGTGGAAGATACTGGTGCTTAGGATGGAAAAAGGAGTAGCCTGGTTAGAGAAAAAGGAGTCCCAGGGACTGGGAAGGGGATTGGGTTTGGGGGAGTTTTCTTTTTTTTTTTTGTATTTAAGTATTTAATTTTATTTGGTATACACCACTCTGACTTTATTGTAATTGAAATCCAATACAGGATTTTTTTTTTTAAATCATTAGTCAACTCCACAAAGACAATAATACTGCTGTGGAAGACCAAAGGGGAAAAAATGATATATTTATTTACAATTCTCTATATTGTAAACATTTAATCTATATACTGTTACTAACTTATAATGAGAGAGCTTTACATAGACAAGGAAATGATGCCCACATTTCTATTCATATTCAGTGATAGCATATTAAATAGATCAGATTTTGTTTTCCATTAGCATTATGCTTTCTTTAGATAATTATCTAAACTTTCAAAAGATCTAAGTATATTCAAGTCCTATACAACTAAAACTACTAAAGCCAACATATTTGGCTTATAATTTCCTTTTTAGAATAATTTAAAGTGCTATAAGCAACCTGGCAATCAACACTTTCTATAAGAACAAAACTACCTTTAAACATTAATTTACAAGATAATATACAATGTTTATCTGGAATAGCTGAAATTTCAGCACAAGGTCACTGTCCCATGTATAACAGCAGGATTTTTTTTTTTTTTTGCATACCACGAAGCTCTGAAATTAACTGATGAATGACTGCCACAATGGCATATTATTGGTTTCCTACAAAAAAGGATAAGAACTACTAGTATATTCTTTTTTTTTTTTTTTAGGTCACTTGACAGTAAGTTTGCATATTCAACGAGTCTACTGAGTTACAATATTGTCTACTATAATCATTGTGGGGAGTTTTCTTAAGAGGTTTGGATGTGTTGGGGCATCTGGGTGGCTCCGTCGGTTAAGTATCTGACTCTTGATTTTGGCTCAGGTCATGATCTCAGGGTTGTGAGATCGAGCCCTGCGTCGAGCACCACCCTGGTGTGGAACCTGCTTAAGATTCTCTCTCCTTCTCCCTCTGCCCCTTTCCACCTCCAAAAAAGGAAGAAGAAGAAAAAGAGGTTTGGACATGTCTCTTTAAAGTTTCTGTGTCCGGAGTGGTCAAGGCTGGCCTACGTGCGGGGGCCCTGAGAGCAAAGCAGAAGTCTGTGCTGTGCCAGCCTGTGGTCAGTGGGGAGATGGCAGCCAGGACATTTTGATGACCTTTCCAGAGCAACAGGGCCTGATGAAGGACCACCCCCCAGCAATAGCATTCTCTAAAAGAAGCAATAGGAACAATGGAAAATTCAATGAACCACACCCGATCCTTGGCATCCGGAGTCTCTTTTTCCTATCTTCTCAAGGGAGGAAAATAACCTCCAAAACATCAGACCAGACCAATAGTAAAACAGGAAAATTAGGTTCATAATAAGAGACCTTGTATAACCGAAGTGTTAGATGAAACTATCAGCTGGGCATCGCTATGATTCAGCTTCCAAGAAAATAAACCCTATAGCTGACTGCACTGCCAGACTTATAGGGTCAGATGACCAGAGACAGAAATCCCACTGGGTGCCACTTAGACCACATCCAGGTTTGAGGAACAGTGACTAGCCAAGGAGTGGCTAGTGGCTCACTCCAGGAGTGAGTGGAGCTTTCAGGTAACCATATTCTGTGATGAGCTGTTCACAAGTATTATGACACACTTACAAAAAAGATTTGCATTCCCTATGCTTTAAAAAAAAGGTAAATGTTATATAACTATTTTATCTTATATAGGTTTCTGAAAATCAATGAACACTAAAGTATACTTAGAATAAAACTGTACAAAAGTTAAATAAAATGTCCATGTTTTAAGACTATGCATAGGAAAAAAAAGTGTATTAGGGTTCTCCAGAGAAACAGAACCAATAGTAAATATATAAATGTATAAATATATATGCAAAGAGTTTTATTATAAGGAATTAGTTCACACAATTACAGAGGCTGACAAGTCCAAAGATATGCAGGGTAAGTAGGCAAGCTGGAGACCCAGGAGAACCAATGGTTTAGTTCCAGTCCAAAGGCAGGCAGGCTTGAAACCTAGGAAGAATTCAGTCCAGAGGCAAGAAAAAAAATGTCCCAGCTTGAAGGATGTCAGCCAGGAGGAATTCTCTCTTGGGGGGTGGGGGTTGGGAGGGCAGGGTGGGAAGGAAGGAGGGTCAGCCTTTTTGCTCTATTCAGGCCTTCAGGTTGACATCCACCCACCTTATGGAGGACAATCTGTTTTACTCAGTCTACTTATTTAAATATTAATCTCATCCAAAACACTCATAGAAAAACTCCAAATAATGTTTGATCAAATATCTTAGTAAGGCCAAATTGCTAAAAATATTTTCATATTCTAAATGTTTGCTCTGATTTCCAAATTTCTAATGAAGAAACCAAGCAAGGCTTGATATGATTTTCACCAAATTACCTTTGTAGTTCTAAAACTACAGCCTGCCATTGAAGCCAAAATACAATTTCAATTACCATTATTATCAGAATTTCTGAGCTCTTCAGATATTAACTTTCTCAGAAAGTTTTACCTTTGTTTGCAATCATAAATTTATAACAGCAAATATACGGTTTATTGGGAAAATACTTTAAAGTGATTCATTTAGGGGCGCCTGGGTGGCTTAGTTGGTTAAGTGACTGCCTTCGACTCAGGTCATGATCTCAGGGTCCTGGGATCAAGTCCCGCATCAGGCTCCCTGCTCCGCGGGAAGACTGCTTCTCCCTTTCCCACTCCCCCTGCTTGTGTTCCCTCTCTCGCTGTCTGTCAAATAAATAAATAAAATCTTTAAAAAAAATAAAGTGATTCATTTATTTATATCTTGTTTGCATCATTTAGAGATACTCAAGTGTAGTGACTTTGTGCCAAATTAAAACATCTGGAAATCTTTCTAAATTTTGGCTATAATTCCAGATTCTTCCCTAGCATTTCATAGTACTGTCTGTTCAAGATGTAATAAAGTTTCCATGTAGTTCTTATTGGAATCATCTTCCTTGGAACGCCTACAATGAAGTTTGATATTTTCCCCCAGATGTTACCTTCAGCTCCACAGCAACAATGAAAGCCATTAAACTATTTTAAAAATTGTGATATTTTACCTTTTAAGTAAATTATTAGAACACTTTTATGTGTAACAATTGAAGCTTTGCAGTAATGATTGAAATTTACGTTGTTTTTGTCAGATATGTTTTATAAGTGAGACCATAAATTTAATTGCAAAGTCTGTATTAATAAGTTTTATTAAACATTTCATGCCTAAAAGTCTTTCTTTGTACTTAACATTAACACGACAGCAGTTTGTGTTAACAATGTGAATGGTACTTTTAAAATATTTTTTCTTTGATCAATTGAAACTCTCAGGTGAAATTTATAGAAGACACTTTCAAATTCTTTATAGTTGAAAATGATATATGATCTTTTTAATCTTCTCATTGATGACTGCAAATCTTTGAACTATGACCTTTAAGTGAACGTGATTGCTTTTTGGATGAAATATGAGTTAGCACTTCCAATCTTCAGCACTACATTTTTTTTTCTAAAGATGAATTTTAGAATTGTAGAATCTGCTGCCTTTTTTTTTTTTTTAAAGACTATTTATTTGACAGAGAGAGACACAGCGAGAGAGGGAACACAAGCAGGGGGAGTAGGAGAGGGAGAAGCAGGCCTCCAGCCGAGCAGGGAGCCCGATGTGGGGCTTGATCCCAGGACCCTGGGACCATGACCTGAGCCGAAGGCAGATGCTTAACGACTGAGCCACCCAGGCGCCCCCAGCACTACATTTTTGATCACTGTTTGCATTCATCATTCATATCACCTGCAATAAGTCATGTTTTCATTTCAGAAATGAAAATCACTTGTTTTATTTTATATTAATTCTTGCACAGTATCAAAAGACATTTCAGGATGTTTCAAGAAATGTTCTAAGCTAGAGTTCAGTATCATATTTTTCCACAGTTTTAGAACATGAACATTTATGACATTTAAAAGGAATGTAAAGAAGCTTACCAACATTTTGCTGACCCTTCTTTCTGGGTGTTTTTTTTTTTTTTCCTTCCCTCTACAATTTACAAGGTTTAATTCAAACACAATATCCTTATAGAAAGTATGCATATTACAAATGTACAGCTTGATAAATTTTCACAAACTGAACACACCCATATAATTAGCACCCAGATTAAGAAATAGAATATAACAGCATCCTAGATGCCCCAATCCCGAACCCTCTTTCAATTACTTCCTTCCCACTAAAGAGTAACCAACATCCCGTTTTTGTACTTTACATAAATAGAACCATAAAGTATATATTATTTTGTGTCTGGCTTCTTTGCTAAGCATTCGGTTTTTGAGATCATCCACCATTTTACATGTAGTTATAGATCTTTTAGTCTAATTATATTCTATTGTATGAGAGTGCCATAACTTGTCTATTTGGGTTGTTTCCAGTTTTGTATATTATTAATGGTGCTGTTATGAATATTCACTCTGACCAATACAGTACCTAACAACCACAGGTGACTCCTTAAGTTTAAATAAAATTAAATTGGAGCTTTGCGCAGTGGCAGTATCGTAGCCAATGAGGTTTATCTAAGGCGTGATTATTGCTAATTAAATAAAATTAAATTGAAAATCAGGCGCTTCTGGCTGGTTCAGTCAATAGAGCATGGGACTCTTGATCTAGGGGTCATGAGTTCAAGTTCCATGGTGGGCACAGTACTTAAAAAAAAAAAATCACTTTCTCAGTTGCATTAATCACATTCCAAGTACTCAAAAGCCACATAGCTACTGTACAGACAATACAGAATACAGACTACTTCCATCATTGCATAAAGTTCCATTGCACAGTGCTGAATTTGTGTTGGTGTGCGTATGGAACTGCTGGGTCACAGGGTATGCACATGCTCTGCATTAATAGCAGAGAGTATCAAACAGTTTTGGGGTATCCATTACTAATATTTTGTTATAAATTCTATTTTAAAATACTAAAACAATGTATTTACTTTTCACCTAAGAATTACAATGCACTACAAGTAAAACCAGGGACGCCTGGGTGGGTCAGTCGGTTAAGTGACTGCCTTCAGCTCAGGTCAAGATCCCAGGGTCCTGGGACCGAGCCCCGCATCGGGCTCCCTGCTCGGCGGGGAGCCTGCTTCTCCCTCTGCCACTCCCCCTGCTTGTGTTCCCTCTCTCGCTGTATCTCTCTCTGTCAAAAACTAAATAAAATCTTAAAAAAAAAAAGTAAAACCAAATAGAAGTAGCAACTATTAGGGCATGAAATGCTTCACAGGTAAAGCACAATGTAGCAACATTATTTACCATGACACAGGACAAGCTAACAGATGTTGCACATGTTTCTCCTATGCCATTACAACAAAAGATCCATTATCAATGTCACAACAGAACAAATCTCTATCAGAATTTACATAATTAACTTCAGTGCTAATGCAGTAACAGTAATACTATTTACCAATGGTAGGATGCATTTCAATATTTTAACAATTGAGACAGCCATGCTCACGTTTATCGGTTAAATCAGATCTGCTCATAATCTGAACTAACACTAGATATTACCAATCTTTTTAAGGTTTGGCAATCTGAGGGGCCAATGTTGTCTGTTTAAACTGCATTTAATCACAAATGAATTTGTGCATCTGTACATACTCATTGGTCTTTTTTTTTTAAGATTTTATTTATTTATTTGACAGAGACACAGCAAGAGAGGGAACACAAGCAGGGGGAGTGAGAGAGGGAGAAGCAGGCTTCCCACGGAGCAGGGAGCCCCACGTGGGGCTCGATCCCAGGACCCTGAGATCATGACGTGAGCCAAAGGCAGGTGCTTAAAGACTGAGCCACCCAGGCGCCCCTCATTGTTTTTGAAAATCATTTCTCCCCTCTTGGATTGCTCATTTATATCCCTTGCCCATTTAAATTATATTCTTTTACTATTATATATTACATAATACATGATTGCCCATGTATGTCCTTTGGCCATTTTAAATTACTAATATTTTTATTAAGGAAATTAGTTGTCTATGTAAGTCTTACAAATATTTCTCAACTTGTAGTTTATCCTTTTTTTAAAAGATTTTATTTATTTACTTAGAGAAAGAGCATGCATACAAGCAGGGGGGAGCGGCAGAGGGAGTGGGAGAAGCAGGCTCCCCACTGAGCAGGAAGCTGGGAAGCAGCTTGATCCCAGGACCCCAGGATCATGACCTGAGGTGGGATCATGACCTGAGCCGAAGGCAGACACTTAACCAACTGAGCCACCCAGGCACCCCTATCCTTTCTTATAGAATCATTTCAAATGACATGTAGTCAACTTTTTAAATCTCTTCCTTTTCGGTTTTTGTGTTTTCTGCCATGCTCTGAAAGCCCTAATTTCTCAAAGAATATATGAAAAATTAATTCCTGTTTTTTTCTGGCTTTTGTTTTTAAAATATTTGATATATCTGTAATTCACTTTGGCATAAAAAGTGAGGTGCAGATCCAGCTTTATATTTTTCCAACTGGCCTGCCATGTCTAAGACACTACTAGTTACCTACCTGGCATCCAATCTCCCTTACTAACAGAACTGTGACTTTGTTTAGGGCAGTAATATGCCCAGCTTAAAATACTTTCCCAGACTCTTGCAGCAAGGGTGGCCAAGTGATACAGTTCTGTCCCAAAATATAGGGGAAAGTCACAGAGTGCCATTTCTAAATAAAGGCAACTTTGACTGACATGATCATTTTGGCCTCTTTTACCTTTCTGCTAGGAATCTAGATGTAATACCTAGAGGTGAAGCAGCTACCTTAATACAATGAAAATGAAAGCCACCCACCCAAGATGGTGGACTAAAAAGATAAAACGAGCCTGAGTCCTTAATGACATTAAGTTCCCATATTAGTCCTGGATTATATATCCTTGGATTTCTTATTATGTGAGAAATATAAACTCCTATTTAGTGAAGCCATTGATCATAGGGTTGCCTCTTTTAACCATGTATGTTCTCATCTGATGCAGTATCGCCACTTATTTAATAATTCATCTCTCTTTTTAGTAATCTCTACACCCAACGTGGGGCTCAAACTTACAACCCCAAGGGTGCCTGGGTGGCTCAGTTGGCTAAGCATCTGACTCTTGGTTTCAGCTCAGGTCATGATCTCGGGGTCCTGGGATCGGGCCCCGAGTCAGGCTGTGTGCTCAGCATGGAGTCGTCTTGTCCCTCTCCCTCTGCTCCTCCCCCTTCCCCCGCTCGCATTCTCTCACTTTCTGTCTCTCTCTCAAGTAAATAAAAATCTTAAAACAAACAAAAAACAAAAACAAAATCACAACCCCACGATCAAGAGTTGAATGCTCTTCTGACTGGGCCAGCCAGGCACCCTGATAATTCATCTTTTTATATCAGTTTGATATGCTATTATCATATACTAATTTCCCATAACTGGATATATTTCTGGAAACTCTCCTGTTTCATTGATCTAAATGACTTCAGTAATATTAACCCGCTAACATATTAGCTAATGTTTACTGAATACTAGGACAATTCAAAGAACAACCCCTTGAGCCTTAATTACTTAATATTAATGTGTAGTACTTGAAAGCCTAAAACTAACAGTGGACTTTAAAAAGTGGAATAGAAAGGATTAAAAAGGAAAGCAAAGATGTTTCTGTTATTTATATGATGGGCTATGGTAAAAGGCAACTATACTTATGTTGCTAAGTGGCAACACTGCTATTCCATGTTGTAATGAAAAGAACACTAGGATTTGGGGTTTGGAGACAAACAACTGGTAGGTCAACAGTTTTGTTTTAGACAATCCTCCCTTAGGCCTAATTTCCTCATCTGTATAATGAGAAATGATTATACTCATTAGATGATCTCTAAGGCTTTGCCTAATTTTAACACTCTTCAAGACTAATGATTAAAGTTTTGAAATTCACTGGATGTGGATTTGAATTCAGGATTCAATGATCAGGTTTATGTATTCAGTCAAAAAGTACTGGGGATAAACTGATGAACATGTCAGAAAACGTCACTATCCCAGGGGAGCTTGCATTATAGCGGAGAGTAATAATAACAAAAAAGATGGGAAGTGATGGGTGCCTGGGTGGCTCAGCCGGTTAAGCGGCTGCCTTCAGCTCAGGTCATGGTCCCAGGGTCCTGGGATCGAGTTCCGCATCGGGCTCCCTGCTCGGCAGGGAGCCAGCTTCTCCCTCTCCCTCTGCCTGCCTCTCTGCCTACTTGTTCTCTGTGTCAAATAAATAAAATCTTAAAAAAAAAAAAGATGGGAAGTGATAATTTACCTATGTTAAATGTGTAACCTGTCTAAAACAATTACAAAAGTTTAAGACTGCATTATAACACATGTGCAGAAAAGACATAAAACATACAGCTTACGATATTAAAAACCAAACACCCATGAAAGAAGCCCTTCTCATGACTTTCCAAATAAAAACCTTCTCCTTCCCCATTAAGGGTAACCACTAACCTTTTATGGTGGTCACTTTCTTATTTTTTTATAAAAATGACTTTGCCAATGGGATTGTGGTAGCAGTTGTACAACTATACAAACTTACTAAAAATCATCAGGCTGTATACTTATGATGGATGAACTTTGTGGTGTGCAATATACCTCATTAAAACTGTTTAAAAAAGACTTTGCACCTCAATATATATCTCTAAACACGATCACTGAATTTTGCCTGTGTTTGGACTTCATATAAATGGAGTCATACAGTATAAGTTCTTTGGCTTCTGCTTTGTTCACTCATAACGCTCGTGAAATTCTCCATGTTCTTACATGTGGTTTTAGTCATTCATTTTCATTGCATAACATTCCACTGTCTTATTAAACCTATTTATCCACTCTATGTTGATGGACATGCTGTTTCCAACTTTTGCCTATTATGAATCATGTTACTATGCACATGTCTCTTGTGGCATATGTACATGCATTTCTGGGTATATATCAAGAATAGAATTGTATATCTTAGCTTTTAATATTAAAAGCACATTTCTGATACTAACTATACTTCTAAACAAAAGCCCTGACAAAGAAAACATGTCTTAGAATGTCAGGTATGGAATGCTGCCAATTTAACCTGTTCAATTTCATGAACTACTAAACTTCAGCCAGATGGGTTTTCATTTCCTTCTACATACTCACTATTCCCTCTGTCTAGATAGTCTTCCCTCCCATCTCTGCCTAGTTAACTTTTACTTTTCCCTAAGATTTTAGCTTAAGCATCTTTGCCAAAGGGAAGGCTTTTCTCATCTAATTCTTCAATTATACATTCCCTTGCTACCTCAGACCTATACTTCTTATTTCTCCATTTGTTGCAATTGTTTTACAATTTGTGAAATGAATTGCCTATCTCTCCAACAATACTGGCCCATTAAAGTTGGGGTATGCATGTATGGTTTTTGCATATCACTGTATCCTTGCACCTAGCACAGTATCCAGCACATACAAAGGGGTCAATAAATACTTGATGAATATCTATCATCTCTTCACATTCAGGATACCCAATTCAAATGCTGTTTCTTCTGAATGTTTTGTTCTTGGGGCCAACACCAATACCATCCTTTGAAAATAAATTTTTATTATGCAAAGATTGTCCTAAGTCCCATGGGGCAAATAAGATTGAATATGAGGGACTTAGCACCTAGGCCCATCATCATAAAGAATAATTCTG